ATTGAGACATGACGACATAATAGAATACCCAGGGAGAGTAGAATGTGCAGAATGTGTAAAAATGAAATAGTGGATGAATACCATTTTGTTTTAATTTATCCATATTTTGAAAAGTTTCGTAAAAAATATATCAAGATGTATTACTGACAGAAGCCATCTGTTTTTAAATTTGTACAATTTTAAGGTGCTCACAATGTCCATGATCTCTATAATTTAGGTAAATTATTCATTTGCTTTTAAATTGAGAGAAAGCTTCTCTCATACGGTAATTATCCATGAAATCATTGTTGTTATCACTGTAAAAAATAAGTGTTTTAAAAATAAACACCAAATTGCCACAGATAATAAACACTTCAACACGTTTAAAATTTAAACACCTCGTGAAGTGTTTAAGAAATAAACACGTTAGAATGTTTAAAATCTAAACACATAAGGTTTAACATTTAAATACTTCTTCCCATTCTGTTTAAATACTAAACACTTCAAAAACACAAAATGTTTAAAGATTAAACACTGAATAAACACAAAGAGTTTACTAAATAAACACCGTACGTGTTTAAAATTTAAACATTTCATGTTTTATTAATAAACATGTTCAACCTAAACACTTAAACACTTAAACATGTTTATTCGATGCAACAGATAATAATCACTTAAACATGTTTATACGTCATTTTTTAAACACTTCAACGTGTTTAATTTACCAAATAAATAAACACTTAAACGTGTGTATAAGTTTTCAACATTTTTATTAGAAACAAACATAAAACAGTACAAAACACACTGTGCTTGATGATGAACATGTACATAAAGCTTAATTACTAAATTATTTAATGTTGAATAGGGATTCAAACTTTATAAACAATTATAACATTAATCAACACATTTGCTAACACACAGATACATAGTTCAATTCAAGTTGAAAAATAGAATTATCAAAACAAACTAGCATGAACATGTAAAACCTGCATGTGAACTAGTGGGGGGGGGGGGTGTCTTTGAAATAGGGAAAAATACATATATTATCGCTTAACAAAATGAAATATTTTTCAGGAGTAAAATTTTGAAACATTATTTTAAAATAAGGGCCAGGGTGTCCTTTACATCCTTTTTTTAAAAAATAAAACATACAAATTTATAAATAAATATAATGCAAAAAGGCTAAAAATGTTATTTGTTGTCTGAGTACGGATATATATGTATTACACTAATAAATCCAGTTATACATGTGACAAGTTTACTTTCATTAATATATTAAAGTTTTAACCAATTGAAGAAATTTTCCAATTTTGACGTGTAAAGGACTAATTCGTTAACTTCTTGCAACTACACAAGAACTGCCGGGGTATCACTCACTTTTCATATAATATTCTAACCGAGTTAAACAGTCTAGCTCCTCTGCTTGTGTGTAAAATCCAGGTTCTTCTGCAATCGATGATGATCTCCAGTTTTCCATTCTCCAAAATTTTATTCACTCTAAGTAGTTCTAGTTCCTTCTTCTTATCAGAGATATCCTGAAAAATAGATAGATGAAATCGAAAAAATATCCACTATGCAAATTCAGAAAATTTTCTGTAAAAGAAAACATTGAAATCGAAAAAAAAATTGTTATTTTTCACGCCAATTTTAATTATATAATAACAAGTTTGGAATAAAAATCTCAATACAAATAAATCATATAAGCGTACAAACTGTGTATACATACACTAAAAAAATTTTAAAAAATTTAAATGTTCATGTACCTGCAGGAGCAGCCCAACAGCAACAATTAAGAGAAGGGGGAGGGGGTTATCCAAGGCATTTTCTATCATGTAAACAACACACTCCCCCCAAAATTTAGTCTCCTTAAATTACAAGTGCGCGCGCTGGGGATGAAAATTATTGTTGGAATTTGCGCGCTTTTAGTATTGTTGCATGTTGTTAACGCTCATGTGTTGTGTATGGTCAGCAAATAATCATAATAATGCGTGATAGAGAGCATAAATTTTATCAAGGGAAGGTAATTGGATTACATTTACATACCAGGAATCAATGGTGTGTGTGTATGTGTGTGTGTGTGTAGGGAGGGGGGGGGGTGACCCTTTTTCTTTGAATGCCCTTAATTTAAACTCACCTCTCAAGGCTAAGTATGATCTTCATTTAAAATCCCTTTCCTTTATCAAGTAATGTATACTTCTCAGGATTCACAATAACAGATGAACGTCCCTGCAAATTAATTAGATGTCACAAAGTACTAAAAGCCTACAAATATTTTATCAGTCTACCGCTTCGCATGGCCGCATTGCACTCAGGACGATTAGGCCTACTAACGATAGGAAACAATCCTGCATTTCATAAATGAAAAGCATTATAGATCTTTAATGTATTTAACATTCTTTTTTTCAGATTTTATATAAAGAAATGTATAAATACCTCCTGTTTCCTTCTTAGTATGGTGCTTCTTGTCAGTATATGCGCGATTCTGCATCTTCTGCGTTCAAATGGCATGTTATGACATAATCAATTGCGTCATTTTCTATCATAACGTATTAAACACGGGTGTTTAATTTGCAATTTCTATATAAATACCATGTGTTTAATTTATAAATATATGATGGTTAAGAAGTGAACACTCGTGTTAAACACCGGTGATTAAAATATTGATACAATTCTAAAAGTCATCATAATATTTGTTTCTTTTCCCCTTTAACAGTTTATGAAAATTATGAATTTTTGGCACAAAACTACGGTAAATTAATGTTAATTGTAATTGCCTTTGGTATGATCTAAAGTCAACAAATTGCCTGGCTATTCGTATTTTTTTCTGTGTCGAAAAATATCTACTATTATGTACGGAATTACTTCATAAATTAAGAAATTATACAAATGGCAAATGCACACAGCAATACTGAGAAGCAACACCTAATTTATTTTTTGATTTGATACATATGAACTTTACGGTTTAAGATGGATGATTAAACACCATACTAATTGAACACCAGTTTAAATAGCAGTGTTTATTTATAAAACGCTAATGTTTTGTATTTAAACCCACTATGTTTAATTGTAAAACACGACTGTTTAAAAATTAAACACAAGTTAAACATCATTTTTTACAGTGTATTGTATTATGTATATATTGTAAGCTATAATTTAAAAGACCGCCATACAATGTCATTATTTAATGTTTTGTATTATATGTTATTGTTGAAATGCGATAAGATGTATGTCTTAAGCAATAAATAAATATAATATCAGTATTTACAATTGTAAAGTACGTAAATTATAATTTATTATAGTGAAACGCATTATGTATAATTATAAATTCAAACGCCCGGCCTATAAGATCTTTCTGATATTAACAGATAACAAAATACTATTGCGTAAAGGTATAATTAAGTATATAGTTTCATTTCCCTATAGAACAAAACTTGTCTGTATATAAGCTTCATGCAAGTATTTTTACAGTTCGCAAAACGAAAACTTAATAAACATATTTAACACTCTCTAATCTAAACAAATATTTTGAGAATTTAGGCCACTCATTGTCGTCTGACTGTCGCCCGTTTCTGTGGTGACAACATTTTATAAAATATTTACTTTACTTTGATTGACATGTCCAGTTATAAATTAATCAGTTACATCTATCCAATCAATGACATTCTTTATTACTCAAGACTGACCATCGCTAAAGGTTAACGCCCATTACTTCACCTGCGATAATCTGCTAATTGTTACTTATAGGTTTTGACTCAATCAGGGTCAAACGTTCGTTTGATCTTGAAATGCATTGTCCATCTGTCCTCAATATCTTATAAGTATTTTCCCTTAAACAATATTTAATATTTTTGATTTACTATTTCATTGTTACAGTTAAGATTTTTATAAACATTAATTTGCATTCTATCACTTTCATTATCAAGAGGAATTTGACAAGATTGCGTATGTTAAATATATTATTTCATAAACAAGCCGGAAAAAAAAAAAGAAAATATTTACGAAAGTGCAAAATATACATTTTGCACGGCCATATGACTGCCTTAACAACATTAATTGCCGTCACCCCCTCATTCCCCACCCCTTTTCCTCCATACTTCACGTTTTCGGATAACAGTTATATTGCATTTAAACTGTGTAGGCAAACTGAATGAAATTTAGAGTTAATATGCTGCAAATTCTAAGGAATTTTAAAGCAAATTTTCATGGAATGTTTCCTCGTATGATTTTTTTATGCAGTGGACCCGAGAGCTGGCCTACCTTAAAAACGATATCAAAAAAATGTTAACTTATATTCATTAAGAAGACAATTTTAAAAGTTTCATAATTTCCAAACCAGTTTAATTAAGCCAGACTTATACATACAACTTAATTGAAACGAACACGTATGATAGGATTTTTTTTTCAGAGTCTACACATTGTAAATTCGACCATATTGCTCTCAAGCACAAGAAAAATTGTTTTTGTGACGTTTCAAATGACACATTATGTAATCCCGACAAAACCATCCCCAACCCCCAACCCCACCCCCATCCCAAAAAGAAAGACTAAAATCATTATTATGAGATAATTGTTGTAGAATCCCAGTATTATCTGTATAGTTTAAAGTTCGTTGCTTTTAAAGTCCAGTTAAAATCGTAAAATTATGCAATCAAAATTGCATCAAAATCAAAATCCAAACCTGGAACTTGTTTTAAAGAAATCAGTTTAAATAGAGAAGGAAAAAAAACGAACGATACATAAGTATTTTTTTTTAATATTAATCCTTCATAATAGCTAGCCTTCCTCTAGCAACTTCCTTTTCTGGTGGATTTTAAAGTGTAATATGGAATGTGGTCAATAGTCAAATGGTGCGGTGTAAGCTTTCACACAATGTAATGTCTACCCTTCAGTGCGCCCACTGAATTAAATCTCTTTTGTATTTGTTTACATTCGCTACGGTTTTAGAGTGAGATAATATATCTTATATCAGGTTGTTTTGGATTGAGGAGGTGTACATTTGACCACCGGTTTATGGTCAGTAGGGCAGTACGGCGGCAGGGCCATCAGACGCTGGACTGGAAGCTGGAATATCACCTCCCCCTTGGTTTGTGTTTCAGTAACTCGAGTAAGTACAGTTTATTTTCGCACAGTACCTGTGTATTCATATATATATATATAATACATGTAGTAGTTCGGCAAACAAGTAGCAAATATTAAGGTACATATCTGGGGGCGTATGTTACAAAAATGATTAATCAACTCTGTAGGATAGCTAGATAAACTAATCTTAAATCACACAGTCATGTAAATTAACAATTATATGAAGTGTTATTCTTTTGATTTCTGAAGATCAATAACGGTAAAGTTATCACTGGAAGTCAATGTTTATCAAAAGTGAGGAGGCCCAAAGGGTGCACTTTGTACTTGATTTTCTATATGTAATTAATTACTTATCTTCTTGAAATTGCAGAATTTTTGGATTTATGTGTATAGCTAATTTAGATCACTACAGGAGAAGTAAAATGCACAATCACACAGACAATTCTATACACTGAAAAATTCTATGTGGAACATATTCATCCCTTTACAATAGTGAAGATTATTATGCGTGTGTTTTTTTTATTTTTTCTGTTGTGTTGGGTTTTTAAAAATTTAGGCATTCGAATGTTAAAGATTTGTTCGTAGTCGGGATTGCCGAGTACAAAACAATTATCTCCGATCGAAACAAAAGTGCACTCAACCTTGACCTGTGATGATGCAGAAGTATGGAAAGAAGTACTCTTAAATTCATTTGCGCATGTTCATTATTTTCTTTTTATTTCTTGGTTGAGAGCTTTTCTTTTGACTATACAAAATATCGCAAAATCATATAAATTTCCTCGGTACAAAATTACCTGTGTGATTAAATAGATTTAAGATAGATAACGTAAATAATAATGATTAATTACTGGTAATAAAATGTCCTGTAGAAATGGAATTGTAATGGACAGTCGAAGATGACATAAATCACTTAGCTAAACACGGAAGAGGAAAAAAAAATATCGATCATGCTAGACATCAAGTTTCTGTGCCTGTTAAATCTCGGGATTTTCGTCTGTTTACAATAAATTAGTTTGCAAGATTGGATTCTAGCCCAAGAAATATTACAGATCTTCTATCAGTAAAATTTTGTAAAGTAATTTGAGTATTAATTATCAGTTTTTTTTTTTGTTCTATTAAGGTCTACTAGTACTTGAATGTATTATTAGGCCAAACTCGATAATCTTATCTGATGGAATGTGATTCTTTCACAACAGATGTCATATTTTAAGCCTAAATGAAAAAGTAATAATATCATATTGCTAAGTTTAACCTTCATACAGTACACCGAGCTTAGTGAATATTGATTCTCCTCTTTCTCTCATTAAAAATGTGTCTTGGCGAACAGTCATCCTAAATCTTTACGAAGAGATATTAGTTCAAGTCATCCATTATAGATCGTAAGGAAATAGGTGTCTCTGTTCTGTTAATTTGATTCTTTTTAATCCAGCAGCGCCATGATTGGGTGTGCCGTTTTCCTCCTGGCTATACTTCTTCTTGTCTTCTGCTTTTGGCAACGTATTCGGAGACTTCCGCTTCCGTACTACGAGGGACGTCACGTGGTTATAACCGGATGTGACACCGGGTTTGGAAATATGCTTGCAAAAGAGCTGGATTCGAAAGGATTTTCTGTGTTTGCAGGGTGCTTAACTAATAATGGAGAGGAGAATTTAAAGAAATCGTGTTCAAAAAAACTAAAAATTTTTCCTTTAGATGTGTCTGATATAAAGAGTATTGAGAAGATGTTGAAATTTGTGACGTCACATCTACCCGACGACGTGGGTCTGTATTTTATATTCCTAGTATCTGTTTTGTTTTCATCTTTAAAAAAGCATTTGTTTCACATCAAAAATACTTATTATGGCTTACATATGTAATGATATACAAAAAAATGATACATTTATATCTAATGCTAAATTTGACTCAATCCACTTACAAATAGTCAATAAATCACATTTGTGACGACACATAATGTGTATATGAGCTTATACACACTTTCAGTCCAAAGGGTTCATCAGAGCACCTGACGTATGGATAGTGACCCCATCCTTAGCCTTCTTAAAATATTACGACAACTTATCAAAAATACATGAATTCCTATCATAATCGTACCTAAATCCAATAAAATTCAATATTCATGTTTTATTACGTTTCAGTCAGTTAGTCCATGAGCATTTGTAAAATATTTTATTTACTGATAGAGGACAATCTTTAAAGCTTAAAAAATTGGAAATTAGATATCGAGATTTACATTTAGGTATGATATTCTAGGAATTCATCTATTTTTGGTAAGTTGCCGTATCAATTCTCATAGGCCTGTCGAAATGAAGTTGGAAGGGGGTGTTACATCATCCAAACGTAAGACGCCCTTGATTCATAACTTTCTTAACCAGTAAATATATATAGATTGTTTTCGTATGACGTATTTTCCCTTCGAGTTATTTCCCTAGGCCGCCATCTTGAAGGTCAAACTAGTGAACTTTCCTCTTTGAGCAACCTATTTTAAACATGTATGGCAGAAATATAAGGACAAAAATCTCTGAAATACTAAAACGAAGCTTTGGTCAATATATATTCATAACAAATTCTGTATTATCTTCCCAACTTTGCCCAGCACAAGATTAAATTGGTTGAATATTAATGGAGGAATCAGAGCTTGTTGACCTCGAATATGGCGACCAACGGGAAATAACTCTTGATAAAATTGCATCTATCGAAAACTAACTGATAATACATATTGTGCATGTAGGTATATGGTGCCTCGTTAACAACGCTGGTATCGCAGGCAGTGTTGGTCCAATCGACTGGCTTACAAGAAGTGATTATGAGAAAGTCATGGCTATTAACCTTTATGGGATGGTTGATATGACCAATGCTTTTTTGCCTTTAATAAGGAGAGAGAAAGGACGCATCGTCAATATGACCAGTATTTGCGGAAGAATAACTCTCGCGCCGTCACCATATTGCGCATCAAAATATGCAGCAGAAGCCTACTCCGATTGCCTGAGGTAGCCGTGATTTTTTAATTTAGGAATTTGGACAATTTTTTTTTTTTTTTTTTTTTTTTTTGGGGGGGGGGGGGTGTCTATAAAACCTAAATAAGTTTATTTTTGTTTTTTGGAAGGGTGCTCACATGCACTGTAGAGCTCTTTAATCATCTTAATTAAATTGTTATCTATGCAGAATAAACACCAGTCTGTAGTTTTAAAGAGAAAGATAATTATAGCATATTGAAATAGAATTGAAAAATTTGCTTTTTCTCACGCATACCTTGCGGCTGTGGATTTGATTATCTTCAAGAAAACGCTAAAATTGAAAACTTTTAATTTGCATGCATGTATGCCAATCATTTCATTTTCTATTTTATTAGGAGAGACCTTTATAAAGAAGGGGTCACTGTTCACATCATAGAGCCAGGTTTTTTTGCCACCAATATTACAGATCCTAATAAAGGGAAGTCTGCCCTTCGGACAGCATATGAAAAATGTGACCCGGATGTAAGACACTATTATGGGGAACCATACTTGGCGGAATGTGAGTAGACGTAAAGCACCGTCTTCAATAGACCCAATTATAGCACGATAAACGATGTTTTATATATTATATTTTAAAAAATGTGTGCTGCAGCTACAATTATATACCCTAAGGTTGTATAACGGTCTTTTGAAAAGTTCAGAAGACCAGTAATTGTATACTAATTAAAAAAATTGAAATTTTTTGCAAAAAGGTTTGAGAGAGGTAAAGTTTTATCAATATTACATTCAAAAGAAACCGTGAATCAAGAGAAAACATGTATTACTCTCTGATTGTTTTTGTAATGTTTGAAAAATTGATTAGTATTCAATATGCAAATGTTACATTGCATTAATATTGGAAACCATTGATTTTCAAACAAAATCAAATTTTTTTTAGTGTTCTTCAATCTTACAATAAACATATCTCAGAAAAATGTGCAGTTTTCCATCTTGGGTAGCCTTTTATCTCCTTAACTAATGTATACTATCACAAATCAACGATATTAGTTAGCCTAGAACGTATATAATCAAAATCTTCCATATTTAACTCACTTCCGCTTCTACAAAAAAAAAAAAAATTAAGGGACACTTTTACCTGTAGTGTGGACTACTATATTTATATTTCCATCACTGACATTCTTATTTACCAAAGATTGACCATGGGTTCATGAAAAGCTCTTGATATGCATGTACGACGTGCATGTGTACATCGGTTAGCAAATTAGAAGTGTATGTGTGTGTGTGTGTGTCTGGCGAGGAGAAGCGTTTGGGGGGAGGGGGGGGGGGGTGTAGGGGTTACTTCGTATGTTGATAATTGTATTTCTATGCGCATGCAGAAAGCCAGACATATCCATTTTATTATTGAAAAGAGAAAGAGAGAGAGAGAATTTTATTTTTGCTGGTCTGCTATGCACATGGTTTGTAAAGCAGTATGAAATCTTAATTGTCAAGAAACCCCCTTCCCGCTATATTTACATATACACTGTCAGTGAAAATGAATAGATTTCTTTTCTAAATTTCATGCACGTGCCTATCAAAAAGCAAAGCAAACTGATACACTTGATCAAAGAAATACCCCCCCCCCTCCCATCCACACACACACGTGCGCACGCACTTTTCTAATTTGCAACACCAATGATTTCAATATCAACTGATTTTGAATGGCTAATGAAATGAATATATGATAAAATCATATCTAATGTAAGAATTAACATTTTTTTCCTTTTGTTTTATTGTCTTTCTGTTAATTTTCTTCATCTACTACTCAATTGAAAATTATTCTCAACCTCACTGACCAAAAGTTGTTATTACATTTTGTGTTGTTTCATTTTGTTTAATCTCGACGCAAAATGTAACAACGCAAAATGTAATAATCCAAAAATCGTGTTACTGCATTTTGCGTTGATCAAGACGCAAAATGTAATAGCGCAAAATGTAATTATCCTAAAAAGTCTGTCGACGCAAAATGTAATAACACAAAATGCAATAATCCGGGTTTATTACATTTCGCATTGTTATTACATTTCGCGTTGTAACAATGCACTGATTGAATATGTTGAAATAATACATCAACTTTCCATATGCTAACAATTGCTCTGCTTATAAATATACAGCATTGGATACTTTGTGATACTAGTAGTTCGCGATCGTTGTGTTGCGAATATAAGAATGTCATATATTCTGATAGTTCATTTTGCAAGTGAAATTGTAATAAACAATTCGAGAAATGAATCAAAGCAAGGAAAAGTGTGTAGAGATATTGAATATTTTCTTTGTTTCTTTTTCACAGCATTAGAAAAGGCACAGAAATTCCTCAGTCTCGTCACGAACAATAACTCGGGGCTGGTGGGGGATGCCTACCTGAATGCCGTGTGTTCGCGGTACCCCGCCCCCAGATATGTGGTGGGGTTTAGCGCCCAAGTGGTCTTCAGAATCCTTTTGTCATTACCAGAAAGTATTTCAGATTTTATTTTGTGTTCAGCGCGACCGGTTCCTGTGAATATGGGAAAGCTGTAATTTTTTAACGTTGTCATTATTTGGAAATGCAGCTAAAATGTTTAACTGTGATATTTTTATTATTATTTACTAATACACGTATCTGTGGTATGGTAGGGAGTTTATTTGAAACTGAAAAAAATTAAAAGGGTAATATATTTTAGTGACATTATGTGGCAGTTTTGTGTAATATTAACACATATAATATGAATATAGTAAAGTCACATCCACACAATAAAATAAACAATTCATTGACTTGCAAAATTAAAAAGCAAATTAAAAAAAAAATAATTATTTACTTGTATATGATTTCATGATGTGATCATGAATATTTATTTATGTTTACTTGTAACATTGATTTATGTGCAGCCACATCCAAATTGCTTTAATCTTCGTTGATATATCTTTGTGTCCATTTATATCATTTAATTACAGAGAAAAAGGGAGTAAAACATTATAACACTATTTTCCCACATAGTTTTGTAAAAAGAAAAAAATATATATATGACATTGTTGATGAAAGTTCTTTAAAGACTGAATCATAGTCAGTATAATGTCTTGCTGTGTAATTATATTTCATATCCAGTTTTGTCTTGAATCCAAGATTCAATTTTTCAATACAATTAATAAAACAAAAACAAAAAAAAAATCTGAAATTTTGTGGAATTTTGATTTAATATATGTCTAAAAGATCTTTATCCCACACAAGGCAGAGTATACTACCATTAAAATCTCATCAGATATAAAAGGGGGAGGGGCCAATTATTGTATATAAGGCTTCTAGACACAATGTACAGCATCTACGCTTTTACCTTTTGCCCACCCTTAACAGTATGATACGCAAGCATGTAAATGTAATGGTGGTATATAATTACTATAACGCAATTAGACTGTAAAAAAAACCTTATACATATATATGGATAAATAAAAACCCACAACAGCAATATTAATTCAGTGTTTCATAGTCTTTTTTTCACTTCTCAACTATATTTTCTGCTCCAATCCTGTTTATGTTAATTATTATGGGCTCCGGTGAATGTATAACCTCAAAACGCCTAGAGATCTAGACCCCCTCCCCCTCCCCTTTCAGGTAGAACTATTTTGGCACAGGTAAAGACAGAGTCAAAGAAATTGCACCAACATTGGTAGAATGATCCCAAAATATCTAAAGTTTATCGACAGTGTTTTGCGTAAAAGGGCTTAAGATAATTGTAAAAATAACGAGGCAGTTTGTTGTCTAATCTCAGAACTTAATAATTTTTGCAACAACTTTGGGTCGTAACACAATATTGTCTGGTCCAATACACATTTTTCCACATTCATAGACATGCGTCACTTATCAATAATACCTGAATTAACCCGCTTATCTCTAAATACAGGTCAACTTTCTCTTTACAATACAGTTAATCTTACTGCCTTGTACAGATTAGCTAATCAACCTTGATTAGAAAATACAAGTCGAGGCTTTCTATCGTTAAGGTCGAAATTCTCAGGTGTTGTGTATTGCTGTATTATAGAATATTGATAATGAAGGAATGGGGACTTGTGGTTTATATATTTAGAGACTAATTGGGAAAATGTAGAAGAATCGTGAAATATATAATTCAGTTGAAATAATTTATTAGGAATTTCTGTTCAAAATGCCATCAAAAGAACCTCCTTGGCTGAGTGAATACCAACGGGTCAACGACAAGCAACAACAGTATCTACGCAAAATTCACGAGCTGAGGAGAAGCCTCCAGAATCGAGAGGAGCAACTGATGATGATAGCAATAGAGAGGCAGAGGTTACTCCGGGGCAGACATAAAAAACCCGAGGAACCCGAAAATGACGAGCATAACGGACACCCACATTCAAAATGGACCGCAACCTTTTCCTCACAGACAGAACGAAAAGCGGTTTTATCTATCTCCTACATTTGTTCCTAGAAAACTGGCTCCAATCATAAAAGGGAAACAAATCATGGATACTCGGTCTGAGTCGTCTGAGATTGACCACGATAAGGAGTCCATTGATATTATTGCCAAACGAAATAACATCAGTTTCATTGGTCAGTTTTCTTCACCAGCCTGCAGTCCCTCTCCCAGACTATTACCGAAAGAGAGACAACTTCTGAATATGTCACGTGTTTCCTTCAAGGGGGTGGATAAAAGTAGACCATCGGTGGCCTCAGTAATGACAGTTCGACCAGCGATGGAGTATATTACGGACATTAGCACCAGAAAGGCGGTGTATTCCTCTGGAAAGTAAAGTATTTGTAATAAAATCGTTATTGTCTGATAATTTAGGTATACTGGAGATGTTTTCTGCTTGGAGTATCTTTGCGATTGATATTGTGTGCAAGTGTGTTCGAACAACGCTGTAGAACTTAGTCAGTCATGCATTGCATATACAATACCAAGCAGATAAGAAGATAATGAACTTCAAGTTGTCGATCCTTGTAATGAATTGCTGTGTTATTCAGCAAGAGAACAAAGTTTAAAAGTTTATTACCCATGTGAATATTAAAAATCTATTTTCTGAGACTGTCACTAAATTGGAAGAGAATTTGTTTAACAGTGGATGGAGAAAACTCTTAGCAAAAAACAAATATGTATGTTTGTCCACATTGTTATAGGGTAGCTGTGAAATAAAGTAATCAAGTATGCTAAACCAAACAATAAAGAACTGCGAACGGTAGTATTGTTCTCCCGCCTACCTCTAAGTCAATTTTCCAAAGTTCACATTTGAATGATTTTTCATATCTATATAGATATTTATGTGAATTTTCATAAAACATTACTTCTTTGGGAAAACAAAGAGAGATAACTATAATTTTGGTAAAACTTGTGTTTTTCACTATAGAAATCAACGAAAAATGGAAGATATTTTTTTTCACAAATTCATTCCAAAGCTTTCTGTGTTTCACGGGGGGGGGGGGGGCATATGTTTAAATACAAAAAACTACAAAAATGCTTATTTCTTCACCGATTTCAAAGGGGTTTACAACTAAAACATTGTATTTTATTAAAAGTATATGTTTAATTTTATATGAAAAAAACAGAAGAAAAGATTTATGGAACATTTATTCATATCCAAGAATATTTTAAAACGTGGTGATCCTTTAAAGCCTGACTTCAATAAAAAAAAAAATTCCGTCTACTCCCCTTATTTAAAGAGATGGAATTAGGGGTAATTAACTATTTAACACTGGAATTAAAATTATCAGCCAATTATCATTGAACAGATCTTTGCATTCAACAAAGATTTCGCGGTCAAATTGCCATTAGTATTGAATTAAATGGGTGTAAAATGTAGGCGGGAATCGAGAGTTGGCGTGCGTACTTCTTTATTTTACCTTTGTACAAATCTTATCCTGTCAAAAATAGCACTGGTTGGAGGCAATTCCAAACGAACAATAATTTTATTTTGGCCTTACTATACTATAGTGTTGTGAAAAAAATAAGTAGGTTAAGCAAACCTTTCTGTTAGGTGTATTTCTTCCTCTATAGCCTTTTCCGTAGATTCTCTGGCTAAAACGGCATTCACAGCATCGCCCATTTCTTTTGGCATTGTGACAGAGTTTTGTGATTGACTGGAGGAATATTTAGTGCAGAAAGAAAACTGTTAGGTTGCCTTTTCCCCCATTCCTGCATGAACCATTGCTGAAGAAAGAGGATGTTATTTTTACACATAATATAAAATGTACATTAATTTATACTCAATAATTAAAGTTTGCAAATGAGTAAGCACATAGAAAATTGAATACAACAAGCAAATTCAAAGAATTGTGGTCCCCCGCTTTCGGTGTCATAGTGGATGGGATGCCATTATTTATGGCAGCTATATATTGTGTCAAATATGTATGCCCTATCATATGTCATTCAAAAGTACCCACCAAAGAACCCACCAAAGTTAAATTTTTTAATATTAGTTCAAACATGAAGGTCAAGGTCAAAAGGTCAAAAATCATAACATGCTTGGAAACATCTTGTCACAGACAATGCACATGTCAAATATGAAAGCCCTATTTCTTCTCAATCAAAAGTTATAAGGAAAGATAACATTTTTGAAAAGTAGGTTAAACTTCAAGGTCAATGTCACAGAGTCAAAGGTCATGATATTTTTAGAAAGGTCTTGTCATAGGTAATATACATGTGTAATATGAAAGTCCTATATTTTGTCTTTCAAAGTTTTGACCAATTTAAAGTAATGTTAAAATTTTTGAAAAGTAGGTCAAACTTCAAGGTCACTGGGTCAAAAATCATAGTATTTTTGGAAAGGTCTTGTCACAGGTAATGTACATGAGAAATATGAAAGCCTGGTCTATGTCTTCTCATTCAATTAAAGTTATGACCAGTGTTAAAGTTTTTGTAACAGACGGACAGACTGACAAACGGACAGATGAATGAGATTTAATGTCCACTTGCTTTCGCGAAAACGGGGGACAGTTAAGTCAATGCCATATGATAATGGTTCTCTAAGTTGTAGACAGAAAAGAAGACATAGTCACCAGCTGCTAATTTAGTGTTGGCATCCCATATTCTGCCATGTTTCTTTCCTGTTGGAACGGAATTTATATGCAGACATCCAGTATTGGTACATGGAATCTACAAGAAATATATAAGATAAAAATGAACATATCTCTTCTCAAACAAAAACAGAAGAAAACATTGAAACCTTTTTTTTTTTTTTTTGAAATATGAAGTTTCATAACTGCAATGGTGTGTGTGAAATATTGAGTTTATTAAACAAATCTGGCACATTTGCATTTGTGTTTTGATGAGGCTAGATCGATCTTTCACAAAATAATTATTCAATGCTTATATTTGAATTTTTTCATTCCTTGACTTAATTGTCTGCAAATTTTATTTAGATTTTGAAATACCTGTATTATTCTTTGGGTGATACAACGAATAAATAGAAAAGCTTTTCAAGATTTATAATCATTATACATGTAATGTTCAATGTAAGCATGACCTCCCTGTCTGTGTTAATATTGATGATTTGAATGGTGTAGCTGTCAACACTTTATAACAAAAATACATGTAGAATGTAAATACAATGTATAATAAAATGTTAAATAAAAATTTTTAATTTACCTTGAGAATTGCAGATAGTCCGTAAGACTGGATATTAACAGAATGTGAAAGTTGTAATGGCATTCCACATTTAGTGCATGCTTTCAGTGCATCTGCCAAAACACCTAGTTCCAGCACTCTCCTTCCTTCTCTCCAATCTAAGGTTGATTTTGATGCAC